CAGTTTATCCGAACCACATTTTTGCCTTGGTATTAACGAATTGATTTAATTATCATATTAGTACTGCGGAACGTAGTCGTACTCACTAGTGCGGACGTTAATCCACACCAGGGAGTATCGCATCCACATTGCATACCTTCAAATATCCACATTCATTTACAAAACCGTTATGGTTTCTGAGTACTGGTATTTTGTCTATAGGTATTAAAATGTACTAAATATTAGTCATGTAGCTTCTTAAGCCGTTTATTTTCATGGATTGATTAGTGTGCCATTAAATTTTGCTATTATAGCCGTGGTCAACTAAAATACTCCTTTTCCTTTGCACTGAACTAATATTAATTTGTTAAGTCAACCCATAAACACCCTCAGCAGGTTTTGCACAGTAGAAAGACACTGAAACTCTAATTAAAAAATAAGTAGCTATTGGCTTACAGTGCGTTATGCGATGGCCTACAGTCACAATAAATTCCTAGCTCTGTACCTCTTGTATACGTTGTTTGTGTTTCGTTTCTGCGGCGTGTTGCGTTAATGCAGCGCCCAATACGTCCACGGGTCATTTGGTCATTATGTGTCATTTGTGGAGGCGGGCTCGGCGCAGTGAATCATGAAGCTGTTATGTTATATAACCTTAACTGACACGGCGACCCGCGGCACAATGGGGCATGACTGACGCCTGAACTTGACACGATTTGTGGGTGAGACTGTAAACAGCTCGTACAACCGCGTCTCGTGATGTTGGAGACTATACGCTGAAGTGTAGACCATTGAAATGTTCATACATAGGTTCGTTTGAATAAAACAATCCCAGGTTCGAAAACAGTTTATATATTTTTGTACAATATTTATTTTTCAAAACTGCTTCACTAGTAGGTATAGCGCGGGACTTTGGAGGTTTGGGTTGAAATCCCGCCAATCAGATATGTCAATTTATTTTTTTTTATTTTTTATTGGAAAGTATTTATAAATGATAATTTTTAGGTTTTGGCGAATTTCCCATAGAGGAAATAAGCTAGGTCTCATATTAAGACCACCCAGGATCAATTTACTTTTTAATTTTGTGGTCCCCAGTGGCAAAATACACCATTCGTTCAAATTCACAGTACAGAAATTTAAGTGTGCTTGTTGGGGCGATAACTAAAGCAAAAATGATACAATTTTGATACCAACTTGTACAAAAAGTGCGTCTAACACTTGGAGAACTTGCGAATAAAACATGAAAAGAGCATAGACGCTTAAATAGTAGTTTTTTTGTCTAATTAATTAATGCCTCCTAGTATGTTTTGTGCTAAACATACATTAGTATCTAATTCAAATTGAGCTAACCAAATAAAAAAAAAAAAAAAAACACACATAACCCGACACATATTAAAATATTGACAAAATTAAATTTTATTGTAAAAGGATTCATCACTTCATTAAGAATTTAATAATTTTGATTTAAATGCAAACATAGAATTTTTTTAAGGAAAGTTTTGTGGCAATAATGAAATCAGACAAACAATCCGAGGATATCCGAATGTCCAGTGTTAGCCGCAAACAAGCATCGGATCGTTGGCGAAGTAGGAATCACTCAGAAGAGAGTGAAAGTCTGTCATAAATTAGTGTTCCAATGCCAGACCGCCCTACTGTTGCGATACGGGACCCTTGGGGCTGGTTGCTGATTGTTCTGGGCTCCTCTGTGTTGATATGAGTACATAACCTCTTTAATCCAAACCTCCTTAATCCGAACGTCCACTAATCCGAGCGCCTTATTACTGTACTCTATACACAGTAGAGTAATCTTTAATGTAGACTGTATTTATTGATATACATACCGTATTTGTAATGCATAGTACTGTTTATGCACTATGTTTACTGCTGTATTAAATAAACACTGTATTTTTGTTTAGCATTTTTCACTTTTCCCGTAACAATTACGAGCTTTAGCCACTTTTTAGCTATTGTTATGTAAAAATAACAATGTGTTCTGTAATCCGAACTATTCAATAGTCCGAACTACCCTGGTCCTGATTAGTTCGGATTAAAGAGGTTCTACTCTCGGAATGAGTAACCTCTACATATTACTAAATATCAATATGTGGTGTAAAACGTAGGATTTAAATTTCACTAGTTGTTTTACCACTGCTTTGCAACGGTATGAGGACGTAATTGTGTTTTTAGTATCTGTGTTTGTTTTCGCCACAAGAATTTTTACCAATTTTTTTTAGGGAAAGAGTCACTAACAGTGAGAGTCACCCTATGAAAACAGGATTTTATATAGGAAAATTTGTGTTTCCCACTTTTTATACAGAAGATATATATCTCATTTAGAAACTTTTATTTAAACCATTTTGTATATCTGGAAAGATATACAAAATGGTTCAATATACAATATACAAAATATAAAGATATACAAAACGGTTCATTATACAAAATGGTTACAAAATAAAGAAGCAAACTAGAACTGTTTATTTTTTATCCATAAGAATTGCTCGGGAGTTTTTAATTTACATTTTCTCCGTAATCATTAGACGTACAAAACGCTTCAATATACTAAATTATTCGTTTATTTACATAAACGAATTATTATAAACATTAATTGAATTATTATTTACATAAAACGCTTCAATATACTAAATTATTCGTTTATTTACATAAACGAATTATTTAGTATATTGAAGCGTTTTGTACGTCTAATGATTACGGAGAAAATGTAAATTAAAAACTCCCGAGCAATTCTTATGGATAAAAAATAAACAGTTCTAGTTTGCTTCTTTATTGATGCTTCAACGAAACAACACAAAACAGTGTGATTTTATTAGGCCCGTAATTAATTGTGTGCGCTTAAAAATAGGTTGGCAACAGTAAAAGATACTACGACTACGATCAGCTGGTGCAACGTTTCTCATTTCGTTTAACGCTTGGATTTTACCGAACCTAAAAACGTGTTGTATAGTGTTTGAAATACTAATTATTTATATGCTTTATAGTAACTGTAGGAAAAATATAACGTGTAGCACGAGTGAAAAGTACCTTTGCACGCTAGTTAAAACAAATAAGTAATTTCATGCAAAGCTATTTTCATTTCAATAACAAACACACTTTGTTACCTACCCTGTAGCAGCAAACTAAACTTAAGTACTCATTAAATTTAATGTTATCCCAACAAAGAATACCTCTGACAACTTAAAGATATATTTTAGTGACAATTCACCCAAGCAAATGGAAATTCACTTTGTTTGCTACGACGGGAGTATTTTTAATAATCTATGGTTTAATTATATTAGCTGTGTGGCAACATAAAGATTGGTATATTTATTAAAATTAAACGAAAGTATATTTAACAGCACTAATATAACTATATATTTTTGCATATCACTGCTTTGCCTCTGGTATCAAACAAAAAACTAATTCTATTAATTCTGACTTGAGATCACTCAAACATAACCAACACATTAAACACATAAAAAATTCTTCAGATTTTAAAATAGGGAGGAAATAAATGTATACAACGATAAGTTTTAAATATTGTTGGATGAAACCAAGGAGTTAAAGTTAAGCGCAAACTATAAATTTATTTGAAGAGAAACAAAACATTTACAACAAGGTTTATATTGTAAAATAAATTAAAAATTACTTTTAGTACCAACTAATAATAACCACTTCAACAAACATAATCCTACTGGAAACTAAATTTTCATTCGCTTTTTGGTACCGACGTGGACATCCCATCTACAGGGTGTCTTGCAACCATGTGAACAAACTTTGTTACATTATTCAGCGTATCAAACGAAACAAAAAAATATTATGATAACATTGTGTACTATCTTAATCCGTTTTCGGTCTATCTATCGGTATGGGATTTTTACAAACACATTCAAAACTCCTTAACTTTCTGAGCTACAGAGTTGAAATTATGTAAAAATGTTTATCTTATTGACCACTATGTGTGTGCTAAATATGAATAAAAACTCTTAAACCGTATAAAAATAGTGGTTTAAAAAAATATTTGATTCCAAATTCCATGAAAACCGTTAACTTTAAAAAATATTTGCTGAGTATGTAAAGACTAGTAAATTTTATGCAGATTACAACGATATCTTATAAAAGCTTAGTTAGGACAAAGAATAACTAAGAAATAATTTCTTTCTTGCATTACCGTCAGTTATCTCTATTTAAACAATGTTAAAAAGTATTTTCATAAATATAATATTGTTTAAACAAAGAAATCTGTAGGTATGGCAAGAAAAAAAATAATTTCTCAGTTATTCTTTGTCCAAACTTAGCTTATATCATATCGGTATAATCTGTATAAAATTTACTTAATTTTACATATCCTGCAAATATATTGTAAAATTTATGGTTTTCGTGAAATTTGGCATCAAATATTTTTAAAGGTGCAATTTTTAAGCGGCTCAAGAGTTTTTTTTCTCATATTTTGCACAAGAATAGTGTGGTTAGTAAGATGTACATACTGTAGATATACATATATACTGTAGATATACATACTGTAACTTCAATTCTGTAGCTCAAGCAGTTAAGGAGTTATGAATGTTTTCGTAAAAATATCATACAGACAGATATACCTAAAACAGTATGAGATAGGACACATGTTATAGTACACTTTTTGTTCCTTTTGATATGATGAATAACGTGACAAAGTTTGTTCATATGGCTGCAAGACGCCCTTAATAAAAACCAAATTTAGCCAGTTATTAAAAAATCCTAGTTGAACGAGTCCCTTATAAAAATAAGCATGTATAAACATCTAGTTTTGTCGATAGTTCAAGCCACAATTTACTAGCATATAAATTAAGAACGCTACAGTTTAAACAAGCATCACAAACTGTACTTTTCCAAATATTTCATCCACCAATTTTTTAGCATGCAAATCAATATTCTCTTTGAACCAGACAACACGATAGCCATACCCAACACATACCTATATACCTCGTATGTATTGTCAGGGGGTAGAGGGGGGCGAAAGTCGAGGGGGGGTATAAGCCAGGACTGTGAGCTCTACCTCAGATCCCACTGTCACTGTACTCGTGCCCTTGCTTGTGGAAGGAGTAGACATGCGATCCGTAAGTATCCCATACAATTGTAGTTTGAATAATTGCTTCTAAAGTTTATTACTAATACATTACATCCCCTTGCTTACCATCCCAACGCTAAGTTTTGATTACCTTTTTTGCACATTAATTTGTTGTAATAAAATCTAGAGTGTGCAAAAGGAGGTGTTCGTAGAAGGTTGGTGTCAATTATACATACATTTTCATGTGCTTTGAAAAAAGTTAGCTATTATTTCATTACCATAAAAGAATTTGTATTGACTGTAGCTATTTTTTGACTCACTAATTAAAATGTATCATTTTAATTAGTGTAGTAACCTAATCTGCGTTATTTTGTAAAATAAAGACTATTTTTCGGATTTTTTTCTACTTCATACATAACCTACTTTTGTCACCTCTGTATACCAAGTTAGTTCAATTAGTCGTGAACATACAATTTGAACTTAATATTATTGGCTTTTTATTCCTTCAAACGTCCTGAGGTTCTGTAGTTTTCAAAAAATATTTTTAATGTACAGACGTCAATATAATTCTAATACCACGGAACTCTATGCTATAAAAACTAATTTATTAGCTAATAACTTTTTAGTGAAATTGTTAAACTATGTTACGCTTAAAATCACTAAGCTTTACATTTACAAACATTAAACAAGTGTTCTACCACACTAGGTATACCTTTGTTAAATGTTTTTTTATCACGCATCATGTACGCACCTCTCATTATTATCATAACTTATGCAGCTAGGTTGCTTTAATGAGATTTAAATATTTTGCTAATGCAAATATACCCCCTACTACCTATTTAATATCATTATTCTCCGACTACTGCTAGTCTAATTACTACTGTACACTCGTATACCCGGTTGATCAAACTATTAGAGGAGGTTGTGCGCGTTTCAAAGCCAGCAGTATTTTTTTTACTACTATAGCCTTGGTAATGGAAGTAAAAACCGTTTACTTTTCATCCATGAAACACAGATTACGCAGATCATCGTGCATTTCTTGTCAAAACGAGGATCCCCCGAGTTTTTTGTCCAGTGACAGATCCGATAGAATCGTAATTTGATTTTGTTTTCAAAGAGGTAAGAGTCCTTGAATCAACTATTCCATGAGTAATAGCAACTAATAACGTGTATGATTTGAACATAGATAAAATCTATACTATATCCTGTATCCAATCACTGGAGTGAACTAGAAATCTTTAAAACCTTAAGTTTAGGGTCATACATTTTAGCAAAGATCAAGTCTAAGAATCTACCGGGAACCCTCCAACCTGTTTAAATAGCTTTGCTCCGTTGCATCCCCTACGTACTGATCAAGTTCGAATAGGGTTGTGTTAACGGAGTATTTTTCTTTATTTTTTTCTTTTTTCTTAAAGATTGCCTTTTCGCAACTTTTACAAGATTTAGTGATGAAATTTCCTGTAGTTGATGTTAGAACTTCCTATTTACAAGTATTTAAGATAGCTTTTCAATATAACCTTGAATAACCTGTGTTGACAAAACAAATTTTCATCGTGTTTACGCACGTCTGAGGATGAAGACGATAATAAAACTATTACCGATAACTACGGGAATCTAACTTGCGTAATCTTTGCAGTCGACGATGTTTACCAAACAAAGATGTGTAATATTTCTTGTCATGGTAATGTTAAAATCTCTCTACGATATAGCACATTCGAAACCAGTTTTTAGTTTGGTAATGTAAATAAGGAAAATCTGTATTCATCTGTAAAACTATTGACTTATCCTCTACAATTTATAAATTCTTTACAAATCAAACAGTTTATCTAGCAAACCACCGAAGTTATGTACGAGCTACGTATAGATTGCATGTCACCATAAAGTAATTGTTCCTCAAGAATTTTCTAGTTCTTAATTACACATGCATATAAAGAGCTATAATAAGCATATGTATCGAACGATGTGGTAAAGTTACCTTTGGCCTTAGGAGCAGCGGCAATAGGTTTGAATCCTTCCAAATTACAAAGGTATCTAAAAGCTAAACACAAATCACTCCTATTTTTCAAAATCACTGATATCTACGAAGCTTGAATTTGAATTATTCCCGTATAGCTCTACTTAATTCGCTAAGCATTTACCGTGGCCTATGAACGATTACAAGCTTACCAGCATGTATCTTGAGGACGCCATCTAGTTATTGAACAAATTTACCTAGTAGCAGTATGCACTTAAATTCTTACAAAATTTCAAGCGTCTCTTTTCCACCCTCCGCTATGTATATGAACTGCCTAAATCAAACTCTGTGTTACTCACAACACTGAAGTTGTTACTATAATGCTGTGAACAATCGGTAATATGCGAGTAATAGTGATAGTCCTATCACTTGGTGCCACCTGTTAAATTCTAACACAAACTGTAATTTGTTGAAACTTTTTCGTAGGTATTAAACCGATTTGAATTTTCGAAGTGTAAAAAAGATTGTTCTAAGATTTGATTTTCGGATGTATTATACAAATGTTGTTATATTTCCCCCTGAATGTTGGAAGTCACTTCTTAGTTCTGTGATGAAGCTACCCAGGGTGCTACCTAAGTGGTGTTCGGCGTTTCAACCTGAGTAACTTCGTAAGCCCCAATAGTTGTACCTATTGAGTAAATTAGGATACTCAAGTCATAAAACAGAGACGTCACCGACCAAGGTTAATGATTGGCGTTATCAGCTGTGGGTGACGTTATCACGACCTCCAAGCTCTCACGGACCTACGTTGTCGTCATGTCGCCATCGATAGTCGGTCTTATCCCCCCATCCCGACCGTGACGACCAGACGATCCTGTAGTTCCCAGCCTAGTTCACTATCAACCACGACGATTGCCAAAGGTACGCGTGAACTGTTAAATGGACGTGATCACTTACCATCTCAGGAGTTGTGATTGTTATGGATCTAATAGTCTGTGAATGTTGTGTTTCTCTCACGCGTTTTAGATGTTTCAGGGGATTTCACACAGAAATTATCAAAGTAATTCTTTGAATTGAATTTAATTGTTGATCTCGAGACTGGAACAAAAAAAAATAGCATCAATTATTTCTCGTCAATCAATTTTGTTGTGTATCTACAGTTTACTAAATATGTTTCCCAATTTTGTAAGGGAACAAAGTGATACACTGTTTTTAACTTGTTACTATCTAACACCAAACTGCTGATTCAATCTTTGGGGAAATCAGTATCATTTTTATGTTGCTAAACTGAACCCAATTTATTGTGCTTTAAGTGGCCCTGGCTAAATAATGGTAGTTTTCATCACTAGGAGCGAAAGTGGCTCTTTTTGGTACGTAGTCGTGTTTTACCAATACGAAAGTACCGTTTAATACATATCTAATACGCTTAAGTACCAAAAAGACACTTTTGATCCTTGTGATAACAACTATTTTAATCATACTATGGAAATAAGCTTCTAATCCTTATAAAATTAGACCACATATTATTTTGAGGCTATAAAAAGTCGTCATCAATGTTTACATTACTGTTGTTTACAAACATAACATTAAATATTGTATTGTTAGCATCGTTTCCATAATGCACTGATAAATTTTTGAGGTTAGCAAACCGAAAAATTTACCATATTTTTTCTATTCCCTATTTGAAGTTACCTGAAAACGACGATTTTGTTGACGATGAACTAAAAACGGCTGCTTTCCAGACAGTATGATGAAAAATATGTTCACACATATGTCAGGAAAACCTTCGCAGTTTATCAAACTCGCTCAATTCTAATCACCCTGGTTTCATAATCAGCTTTGAATTTGTCAAGAATGTATGACGCTCTCTTTCAAGTGTTGGGAGGCATTATGATTTGTTAGTTGAATCACTTTACATATAGATTCAACTATAACTATACCATTATACCTGTGTTCAACAAGAGTTGTAACATCAATACTACAGAGCTCATGTTTAGTGTACCCTGCACCAGACAGTCACTGTTCGATGTCACAACTCCTAGCTTGTCGTGATTCCTTTCATCTGCACTCTCTTTGTTTCTGCAGTCTCTCTTTCTCCCCTTACACAACTCCCACAATAATCTAGTCGACATCGTCTGGTTCGGATTTTGGAGGAATTCGATTATTTGAAGAAGTATATACGAGTAAATTGTAATCTTCTAATGTGATTGAGCAAGTTTTTGTTGCTTGAAATCGCATCTACGTGTTTGGGTAATGCATTTATTTGAAGATCAAAAGTTCTCCAGGCACTTTGGTATTATACCAATCACACTTTATAAAATAACCTAAACTAACTTAGGGGTGGACTATAGGTTAGGTTATGTTAGGTTGGGAAGATTTTGTCATTTAAATTCATTAAAATCTTATTTGGAAGTCGATTTATCAGTGTAGTCGGTTTAATACCAAAGTACCGTTCTCCATTTAGAAGTACGAATGTAGTACCGTAGTGTCGTAAAATTTAAGAAGTATGAAGTTGACTAGAACTAGAAACATGCCGTTCTTTACAAAAGCTTGTTCAGTATGTAATTATTGCGAGAAAATCACACTTCTCTGTTATAACGTCTAACCCCATCAGCAATACTTGATAGAGGAAAAACAACCACGGAAAAATAATCGCCATACCATCAACAACAGAGTCGATGCCATGAACAGAATACATTATGGATCATAGCGTTTCCAATAGTACTAAATCATGATTCACACACGCTTCGATCAAATATCACGTTACGTTAGCTCAAATATCCTTCATGAGGTTCCTTAACGTCTTCCTGTTGAAAGCAACAATCGGATAAACTCTGCGTGAGGTTTCAAAGGTCGCCGGACGATTCCGGGGTCACCTGTGTCGAATTCTCTCATTTCCCGTCCGATTGATTTATAATTGCATTGGATTAAAATAAAAGTACCGTATGGATTTTTTGAAAGAAAGTCCTTTTGAGTTGGGGGACAATTTCATTATGGTATACGAACGCACAGCTAAATGTGGGCTTCAAACCGTCGAAACAATTATCAACCGATTAGCTCATCAATTCGTATTAATATTACCCCTCTTTCTATGT